GGGTGTGTGACTCTGGTGTGTGTGACTCTGTGTGACTCTGGTGTGTGACTCTGGTGTGTGACTCTGGTGTGTGTGACTCTGGTGTGTGTGACTCTGGTGTGTGTGACTCTGGTGTGTGACTCTGGTGTGTGACTCTGTGTGTGACTCTGGTGTGTGACTCGGGTGTGTGACTCGTGTGTGTGTGTGACTCGGGTGTGTGTGACTCTGTGTGTGACTCTGGTGTGTGTGACTCGGTGTGTGGGTGTGTGACTCTGGTGTGTGACTCTGTGACTCTGGTGTGTGACTCTGGGTGTGTGTGACTCTGGTGTGTGACTCAGGTGTGTGACTCGTGTGTGTGACTCGTGTGACTCTGGTGTGTGTGACTCTGGTGTGTGACTCTGGTGTGTGACTCGGGTGTGTGACTCTGTGTGTGACTCGGGTGTGTGACTGTGTGTGTACTCTGGTGTGTGACTCTGGTGTGTGACTCTGTGTGTGACTTCTGGTGTGTGACTCTGGTGTGTGTGACTCTGGTGTGTGACTCGGGTGTGTGACTCTGGTGTGTGACTCAGGTGTGTGACTCTGTGTGTAACTCCAGTGTGTGTGACTGGGTCTGTGTGTGCAGGTGCTGTTGGGCCGGGCCAGGGCTCACTCTATGATTGGGTCGTTCAGTGTGGCTGTGCGGGCCCCCGGGGGCCCCTCCCTGCAGAGACTGTTGGACTGGAAAGACAGAAGAGAATGGGACCCTGAACCCCGAGACTCTCCAGACGACACCGGACCCCGAGAGTCTCCAGACGACACCGGACCCCGAGAGTCTCCAGACGACACCGGACCCCGAGAGTCTCCAGACGACACCGGACCCCGAGAGTCTCCAGACGACACCGGACCCCGAGAGTCTCCAGACGACACCGGACCCGAGAGTCTCCAGACGACACCGGACCCGAGAGTCTCCGACACCGGACCCCGAGACTCTCAGACGACACCGGACCCGAGACTCTACAGACGACACGGACCCCGAGAGTCTCCAGACGACACGGACCCGAGAGTCTCCAGACGACACCGACCCCGAGAGTCTCCAGACGACGAGACGACCCGAGAGTCTCCAGACGACACCGGACCCCGAGAGTCTACAGACGACACCGGACCCCGAGAGTCTACAGACGACACCGGACCCCGAGACTCTACAGACGACAACACAGCAAGAAAATAACACCACAGAGTTTACAGCCGCACTCCCCCTAGTGGCTGAAACATGTCACCACATTGAGTCTACGGACAAATGTTAAAATGTTTTAATATTTTACAGACGTCAATAAAACAACAGGATTTTATGAAACAAATATGAATCCTAATCTGAACCAGGACTAAACTAAGACTAAACCAGGTCTCAGGTCTAAACCAGGTCTACTAAACCAGGACTAAACCAGGACTAAACCAGGACTAAACCAGGACTAAACCAGGACTAAATAAAACCAGGACTCTAAACCAGGACTAAACCAGGACTAAACCAGGTCAAAACCAGGACTAAACCAGGTAAACCAGGACTAAACCAGGTCTAAACCAGGTCTAAACCAGGACTAAAACTACTAAACCATCTAAACCAGGACTAAACCAGGACTAAAACACCAGGACTAAACCAGGACTAAACCAGGACTAAACCAGGACTAACCAGGTCAAAACCAGGACTAAACCAGGTCTAAACCAGGACTAAACCAGGTCTAAACCAGGACTAAACTAACCTAACCAGGACTAAACCAGGACTAAACCAGGTCAAAACCCAGGACTAAACCAGGACTAAACCAGGACTAAACCAGGACTAAACCAGGACTAAACCAGGACTACCACATTTTTTGTCTAATCTAACCAACTGTAAACAGGAGCATAATTTTTCATTTGTTTTGCCAAAATTCAGAAATTCGTGTTTACAAATGACCATAAAGCAAAATAAATAAATAAATAAAAATCAGCATCAAAAGTTCCTCATGATCTTTTTTTTCACTATTTTATTCATACCACTTTTAAAAACCTGGTCACTCCACATTTAAAGCTTTTTTCTTTTTTTTTTTTTGGTTTTATTTTCCTGTTTCTTTTACCGTAACGTCGCGCGTCGTGCTGCGCGTCTCCTCTGCGCATTACGGCCTCCCCCCTCCCCTCCGCGTTGCCCACGTGTCCGGAAATGCGCGCTCCCGTGTTGTGTTTTGGACGAGCGCCTCCACACCTCCACCTGCCCACGCACCGAGCCCCCCCACCCCCGACCCGCCGGGCGCACGGACACGGGAGGCCGGGCGCGCACAGGCGGCAGGGCCCGGGCCGCGGAGCGTCGAACCATGGGCCTCGTCGCCACCGTCCGGAAGGAGTGGTTCATCATCGGGATCGTGCTCGTCATCTTATCCGCCAAAGTGCATCCCAGCTTCGGCGTCAAAGGAGGTGAGAGCCCGCGGGGGGTGGGTGGGTGTCCTCCCGGTGTCCCGCTCCCGACAGGACAACGTGGACTTATTTATTTACGTGAGAAAATACGACACTTTGAACCGTTTCCAAACATCGAACTGTGACTTTCCTTTTTGACACTTGTTGACATCAGTTTAGCGTGACACAAACTAACCTCCTTCTTTACGTAACGGGATGACCAGACGTCCCACTTTGTCCCCGTTTGTCCCGGTTTGTCCCGGTTTTGAGCCTGTGTCCCCTGTCCCAGCAGATTCATCCAAAACCAGCGATTTGTCCCAGTTTTGTTCAAAAAAATGTCCCAAGTGTTTCTATTTTTGACCAGTCTGACCCTGCCAACAGTAAAGAGAGACGCAAACTGTCATTTATTTCAGTAAAATACAAAACATCTGCTTAAAAACGACCAAAACACAAAGAAAATGTGACTCGAGTGCGTAAAAATTCTCCTTCTTTACGCACGCGTTTCGCACTTTTATTATCACCAACCACAACAAACCAGGGACGTCCCAATGTTTATTTTGAAACTCTGGTCACTCTACCGTACGAACCAAGTCTAAAATACGTCTATGAATGAAAATACGTGAATGAATGACCCCAGCATTTGTAGTTTTTAGTGGTAAAACGTTTGAATTACAAGTTCTTTGCCAAAACAGTGCGTCCTCTGTGCGTAAAACCGCGCTGCGTAATTGGGCATAAGGACACGTTGCACTGGAAAAATAACGCCCACATCCTTGAGCGCGTCTTAAAGTCTGTTTGTTTATGTGAAATAGTTAAACCTGCGTGTTGTGTTGACATCAGGGCGGCGGGTCTGCGCTGACAAAAGACTCGTTCCGGTTTTATGAGTCTTAATGCGCAGCTTTTACGCGTTTACCGTCCTTTATCTTATCTCAGAGATTAGACTCGCGTGTCTGACGCTACTGGTTTTACAACCTTCAAGTGCAGTGCATAAAATGTGAAAATGTTGTCAGTCGAACCCAGTGGACGCTTTAGGAAATACTTTTACTCAAAAGGCCCGAATTACGACGGAGTTTAAGGGTCAGATAAAAAATGTAAAAAGATGCTGGTGTTTCGAGAATAAAGTCGTAACATTTCGACATTAAAGTCGTAATATTAGGAGAATAAAGTTATAATATTATGAGAATAAAGTTATAATATTAGGAGAATAAAGTCGTAATAAAATCAAAGTCAAAGTGAAAAATGCGGCAGAAGAAAAACCTTGTTTTTCAATATAAAACTGAAAATAAGAAAACGAACAACAATTTTCTTCATTATTTGCCTGACTAAACCAGGACTAAACCAGGACTAAACCAGGACTAAACCAGGACTAAACCAGGATTAAACCAGGACTAAACCAGGATTAAACCAGGACTAAACCAGGACTGAACCAGGTCTAAACCAGGACTAAACCAGGACTAAACCAGGACTAAACCAGGACTAAACCAGGACTAAACCAGGACTAAAACAGGACTGAACCAGGACTGAACCAGGACTAAACCAGGACTGAACCAGGACTGAACCAGGACTGAACCAGGACTGAACCCAGGACTAAACCAGGACTGAACCAGGACTGAACCAGGACTGAACCAGGACTAAACCAGGACTAAACCAGGACTAAACCAGGACTAAACCAGGACTAAACCAGGACTGAACCAGGACTGAACCAGGACTGAACCAGGACTAAACGAGGTCTGGGACCAGACCGGGACTGAGACCAGGACTTAGACCGGGACCAAGAATGAGACCAGGGAACAGGAACAGGACTGGGACCGGGACCAGACCAGGACTGAAAACGGTTTAGTCCTGGTTTAGACCTGGTTTAGTCCTGGTTTAGTCCTGGTTTTAGACCTGGTTTAGTCCTGGATTTAGTCCTGGTTTAGACCTGGTTTAGAGTCCTGGTTTTAGACCTGGGTTTTAGTCCTGGTTTTAGTTTCCTGGTTTAGACCTGGTTTAGTCCTGGTTTAGACCTGGTTTACCTGGTTTAGTCCTGGTTTTAGACCTGGTTTAGACCTGGTTTAGACCTGGTTTTAGACCTGGTTTAGACCTGGTTTTAGAGTCCTGGTTTAGTTTAGACCTGGTTTACCTGGACCTGGTTTAGTCCTTGGTTTAGACCTGGTTAGTCCTGGTTTAGTCCTGGTTTAGTCCTGGTTTAGACCTGGTTTAGACCTGGTTTTTAGTCCTGGTTTAGAGTCCTGGTTTAGAGAGTCCTGGTTTAGAGTCCTGGGTGGTTTAGTCCTGGTTTAGTCCTGGTTTAGTCTGGTTTAGTCCTGGTTTTAGTCCTGGTTTAAGTCCTGGTTTTAGTCCTGGTTTAGACCTTTAGCTGGTTTAGACCTGGTTTTAGACCTGGTTTAGACCTGGTTTAGACCTGGTTTAGTCCTGGTTCAGTCCTGGTTCAGTCCTGGTTTAGTTTTCCTGGTTTACCTGGTTTTCCTGGTTTAGATCCTGGTTTAGTCCTGGTTTAGTCCTGGTTTAGTCCTGGTTAGTGTTTAGACCTAGGTTTAGACCTGGTTTAGTCCTGGTTTTAGACCTGGTTTAGATCCTGGTTTAGTCCTGGTTTAGTCCTGGTTTAGTCCTGGTTTCCTGGTCCTGGTTTAGTCCTGGTTTAGTCCTGGTTTAGAGTCCTGGGTTTTAGTCCTGGTTTTGGAGTCCTGGTTTAGTCCTGGTTTAGTCCTGGTTTAGTCCTGGTTCAGTCCTGGTTTAAGTCCTGGTTTTAGTCCTGGTTTAGTCCTAGGGTTTAGTCCTGGTTTAGTCCTGGTTTCAGTCCTGGTTCAGTCCTGGTTCAGTCCTGGTTTAGGGTCCTGGTTTAGTCCTTGTTCAGTCCTGGTTTAGTCCTGGTTTAGTCCTGGTTCAGTCCTTATTTATATTTAGTGGGCTTGAGGTGTGCAAAAATATTAAAATATCGATATATCGTATGGTTTAATGTGATGATACAGGATCGATATCGTGTTCTGCTGTATCGATATTTCACCAAGAGGATTTTTTGGTTTATTTTACTAAATTATTTAGTTCCAGTTCCAGTTTTGTTGTTTGTTCAGTGGAAGGAAACTCGTTTACGCGACACATTTGACATTTTCACTGTTTGAGGATTAAAGTGTTTGTGTTTCGTATGAACTTTGCACAAGAAGAAGTGGTTTAAAGCTGCGTTCGGACGGCGAGGTCACGGCGTCCAGGTCACACGCTCACAAAGTCTATGTGGACGTTCGTCTTTGGGCGTCGGCGCGGCTTGAGCGTTCAGGCGTCGACGCTCCGGACGCGCATCCAGGGCGTCGGCGTCAGAAGTCGAAAAATCAGAACTTTTGGCGTCTGATGCGTCGCGTCAACCAATCAGGGACGAGTATCCAGAGACGTAGTGACGTTATTCCCCAGAAGAAGAAGAAGAAAGAGAAAAACCAGGACAAGAAACACTACACCACGTCATAAATATAATAAATAAATATATTCACTCCACGACTGGACCAGGACTAAACCAGGACTGGACCAGGACTAAACCAGGACTGGACCAGGACTAAACCGGGACTAAACCGGGACTAAACCGGGACTAAACCGGGTCTAAACCGGGACTAAACCAGGACTAAACCAGGACTAAACCAGGACTGGACCAGGACTGGACCAGGACTTGGACCAGGACTGGACCAGGACTGGACCAGGGACTGGACCAGGACTAAACCGGGTCTAAACCGGGTCTAAACCGGGTCTAAAACCAGGACTAAACCAGGTCTAAACCAGGTCTAAACCAGGACTAAACCAGGACTAAACCAGGACTAAACCAGGTCTAAAACCAGGTCTAAACCAGGTCTAAACCAGGACTGGTCTAAACCAGGACTAAACCAGGACTAAACCAGGACTAAACCAGGACTAAACCAGGACTAAACCAGTGTGATTATCGGAGTCTAAATATCTTCACGCTGCAGTCGTCGAGTCGATCTTCTCCGCTGATGGTTTCATGTAATAAAAACACTAAAGTCTCTCTCAGTCTGGTCCATCGTTCTGGGAAATGTCACTTGTTTCCAGGACGACAGACGCTCTGGACGCCTTAAGTATTATTCTTCTGTCAGTCCATGGCGTCTGAACTCTAATGCAAAGGCTCCAATACGATACATACATCGATGCATAGGCCACGATACGATACATATCTCGATACAGTGAACTTTCGATTTGATGCGATATATTTCAAATCAATTCAGTATGGTTCAATCAAAAATAATCACAAAATCATGGCTTTGATACTAAAAGTCTTTGTTTGCACTTCTTGTGCAACGTCCATATGAAATGCACCAATTTTAATAGGGCTGAGTGTCATTAAGAAGTTGCCGATACGATACATATCTTGATACAGTGAGCTTTCAATTCGATACAATATATTTCAAAACGATTCAGTACGGTTCAAAAAATAATGGCTAAATTATGACTGTGATACTAAAAGTCTTTGTTAAACCTTTTCTTGTGCAAAGTTCAAATGAAACACAAACATTTTAATCCTCAAAACAGTGAAAATGTCAAATGTGTCGCGTAAACAAGTTTCCTTCCTCTGAACAAACAGAACTGTAACGCTGTGGCAAAATAATTTTGTAAAATGTACTAAAACGTATGCTTGGCGATATGTCGATACAGCAGCCGCTGAAATCGATACTGTATCATCACATTAAATGATACGATATATCGACATTTCAATATTTTTGCACACCCCTAATATTAACCCTTTGTTTCATATCAGTCCAAGTTTAAACAACGATCCAGAAATTATTACTAGTGTCGTGTTTATTACTCACTGAATAAAAAATACTGAAAAATATATTAGTTGTACAAGAATTATTTCAATATTTTTTCTTGGGCCTTCACTGAAAACCTTGAAGCGTCGGCCCTTCGAATGAGGTGTCCCTTATTTAGTTTTCGGGGAGTTGGCAACCCTAACGCAGCTTAACCAAGACTTTTAATATCACTGCCACGATTTAGGCATTATTTTTATTGAACCGTATTGAATAAATTTGAAAAGTATCGTATGGAATCGAAAGTGCCGAGCCCACGTGAGGCTTCTTGCTCCCCAGACGTCTGTCCATGGACCTGTAGTATGTGTATTAGAATAATTAAACCAAACAAACAAACCGTGACCATGTGCATCTGTGCGTTTGTGTGTGCATGTGTGTGTGTCTGCATGTGTGTGTCTGCATGTGTGTGTGTGTGTGTGTGTGTGTTTAGGAGCTGACCAGCGCCCTGCTCCACGTCCGGCTGCATCTGTTTGTCCAGAGCTTCACTTTAGTCTTCTTCCCCGTGTCTGTGTGGCTGCTGATCCGACTGCTCGCCCTCTCCAGCATCGACCAGTGGCTCCTCAGAGGGTACGACGTCCACGCTCATACTCGGCATCGTAATAGAGGCTTTGCACCGTCACGTGTCGCCCATGGCAACGGTACCTACGCCGCCATGACACTGACTTCAGCAGCGTCGGAGAAACACGGGCAGGTTTTGTTGTGTATGTGGTTGTTCTAGACCAGTGGTGCTCAATATGTCGATCTCGATCTACCAGTCGATCTCCGAGGTCGTGTGGGTAGATCGTCGTGTCTCGTCTCGGACTTGTGTTTGGACTCGGTCTTGTCTCTCACTCGAGGTCTGACACTCAACAAGTGTGATCATATTTCATTCCGGCCGCTGCTGTTGGTAATAAACTTGTAGCGGGTGCAGGAGCGTGTGGGGCGTCTCAGTGCAGCCTGTGCGCTCATTTGAAACCCGCGGAGACTCTACGGCGCATCACAAACACACACGCTCCCTATGCACGGCTCGTCTGCGACAGCGTGTGCCCTCGTGTACCAGCGTGCATCACAGGGCAGGTTCAACTTCCTAAACATCCTACCTGTCCACCTGCCTCACGTCAGCACGCCGCCCCTCGCCTTTTCACGCTCTCGCTCCTTCCTGCGTACAGCCAACACAAGCCCCTCCCACAGTGCGGCAAGACCAAACGTGAAGCAAAAACCAGTCTAAATGTGTGTTCCAGTGTCGGCACAAAGCAGGTCTACAGCATAGAGCGGATCTACAGAACAGACCTACTGCCACATTTGGCTGAAGTTTGTCTAACAAAAGTGACAAATGCATCTGTGTTTGTCACGATGTGCGTTTGGTTTGGTAAACGTGCAGAGGCTGGTAAATATCACTGCAAAACCACAAAAGAATGAAACTCCAGTTTGGAACTTTAAAAAACAGGTTTAAAAATCTTCCTTCACTTTTTTCACAGTTTTGTGTAAAGTGCCAGAGGAAGTTCTCTTAAAGAAGAGGTTCTCAAACTGTGGGGGAGGGTCCAAAAAAGGGGCACAGAGTGTTTCAGTGCAGTTTGTTTGACTTTGTATTAGGTCGATCATTTTGACTTGGTCATTTTGTAAGTAGCTCACATGATGAAAAAGTGTGAACACCTCTGTTCTAGACGCTCTGAAAGGGATAAAACGATTCTTTTCTTCACTGTTCCTCTGGAAATGACTCATCAGGATCAAACAAGGGAATTATCAAAAAAAAGACAGGAATTATGTCTAGAGAACATAAACCACGAAGAGATTTCCAATGGTTCCATCAAGACACACTCACGTCACTTTCATCAAGATATTTGTTATTTAAATTGTTTCATAGTTTATTTAATGAGAGAAGCACATTTACTGAACTAAAATGTAAAAAGAAAACATTTGCAGTGTGAGTGGCAGTAGAAACTGTATCTTCCAGCACATATAAACATGTCACTCGTCGTAGGACCCATGTTTTCTTTATTGTCTTGTTTATAACTTCTTCTCTTTTTGTGAGTGGATCTTTCTAACGTTGCTGAGGATCTTTTCATGGTCGATTCTTTGCGAGGTTCGGCTCACAGACTCTTCGACTCGTGCGTCGTGTTGATCACAGGAGCTCAATGTGGGTTTGTTGAATCGTAAACTAGTGTGGGTTTTCCTGGATAAATTAATGAAATTTTAGTTCAGTAAATGTGCTTCTCTCATTAAACAAACTATGAAACAATTTAAATAACAAACACCTTGATGAAAGTGACCTGAGTGTGTCTCGATGGTAACACTGGAAATCTCTTTTTGGTTTATGTTCTCTAGACATAATCCGCGTCTTTTTTTTTTTTTTTTTTTTTTTTTGATAATTCCCTTGTTTGATACTGATGAGTCATTTCCAGAGGAACAGTGAAGAATCAAATTGTTTTATCTCGTTCAGAGCGTCTAGAACAGGGGTGTCCAAACTTTTTTCATCAAGGGCCACATATCTAAACAGAGAGAAAGCAGAGGGTCGACTGAGGGCCGTAGACTTGGTGTTCAGTACAGGGAATAATTGAAATGTTTAACACGTTAGAATGAACCATCAGTCTTTATTCATGCTAAGATCCTTAAAACCAAACACACAATATTAAATATCAGCTTTATCAAGGTAGATTTTCAAAAAACTTGCAGTAAAAAAAATATATATATATTGATGCAAGGTAATTTGGGCCAATTTACCTGGAAGCCTGAGGGCCAACAAAAATTTGTCTGAGGGCCGCATTTGGCCCCCGGGCCATAGTTTGGACATGCCTGATCTAGAACAACCAAATACACAACAAAACCTGCCCATGTTTCTCCGATGCTGCTGAAGTCAATGACATATCGTGCCTGGTGTCATGGCGGTGTAGGTTCTGTTGCCATGGGCGACACGTGACGGTGCAAAGCCTCTCTACTGCCAATAACGCTGATACTAACGATGCTCATGCTAATATGACTAGACTTGGACAAACTTTATCGATCCACAAGGAAATGATTTGGACACAGGAGTCACACGTCACAATATAATATCATAACAAAGAGTAAAAAAATATAAATGGTGATAATAAATTCTAAAGTAAGTAGCAAATAAATCAATAAATAAGCAAGAGACATGTCAAATACAAGCATCATGAATTTCAGACTTCTGGTCATCGCACAATTCATACTGAGAAGGATCCTCTGAAAAAGTGATGATCAAACCTCCATGTTTGTTTTCCCAGTGGGACGTGTCTATTGTCAAAGTCGATCTTTTCAAGTCTTTTGAACCATTTCACTTTTGTTTCTGGTTCTGATATTGTCATATTTTAGTTTTGGGATTCGGACGTCGTAATTGTTGTGGTTGTTGGATCCAAACAGCGGAAAACGACTCAAGAAATTAGTTTGTGAACTTCATAAATGCAAAAGTGAATCAGATGTGTGTGACTCAAACCTCCGTTCAAACTGTTTCTCTTCCCAACGGAATTGAAAAATAGTGAAAGGTGAAGGTGATGGGCAGGATTGATCCACAGGATCATTTCTTTTATTTAGTGGTTTTAAATCTCTTTTATTATCAATATAAACATTTATTTTCTGACTTTTAACCGTCCTGTCTGCTGTTTGTCTAAACTCACACACTTGGAGCAGTACTACTACTACTACTACTACTACTACTACTACTACTACTACTAATACTACTACTACTACTACTACTACTACTACTACTACTACTACTACTACTACTACTACTACTACTACTACTACTACTACTACTACTACTACTACTAATGATATTACTAATGATTTTACTGCTGCAGCTACTACTACTGTCACTGCTGCTTCTACGTCCACCAGTTTAACTCCAACGGCTCAGACTTCTCCACAACACGAGGCTCTGTACACACAAGTGTGTGTGTGTGTGTGTTTGTGTGCATGTATGTGTGTACTGTGTGTGTGTACAGTGTGTGTGTACAGAGTGTGTGTCTCTGTGTGTGTGTGTTTCTGTGTGTGTGTCAGAGTGTGTGTGTGTACAGAGTGTGTTTGTGTGTGTGTGTGTACAGAGTGTGTGTGTGTGTGTGTACAGTGTGTGTGTGTGTGTGTGTGTGTGTGTGTACAGTGTGTGTGTGTGTACAGTGTGTGTGTGTGTGTGTGTGTTGTGTGTGTGTGTGTGTGTGTGTGTGTGTGTACAGTGTGTGTGTGTGTGTGTGTGTGTGTGTGTGTAGTGTGTGTGTGTGTGTGTGTGTGTGTGTGTGTGTGTGTGTGTGTGTGTGTGTGTGTGTGTGTGTGTGTGTGTGTGTGCAGTGTGTGTGTGTGTGTGTGCAGTGTGTGTGTGTGTGTGTGTGTGTGTGTAGTGTGTGTGTGTGTGTGTGTGTGTGTGTGTGTGTGTGTGTGTGTGTGTGTGTGTGTACAGTGTGTGTGTGTGTACAGTGTGTGTGTGTGTGTGTGTGTGTTTGTGTGTGTACGTGTGTGTGTGTGTGTGTGTAGTGTGTGTGTGTGTGTGTGTGTGTGTGTGTGTAGTGTGTGTGTACTGAGTGTGTGTTTGTGTGTGTACAGTGTGTGTGTGTGTACAGTGTGTGTGTGTGTGTGTGTGTGTGTGTGTGTGTAGTGTGTGTGTGTGTGTGTGTGTGTGTGTGTGTGTGTGTGTGTGTGTGTGTGTGTGTGTACAGTGTGTGTGTGTGTGTGTGTGTGTGTGTGTGTGTGTGTGTGTGTGTGTGTGTGTGTGTGTGTACAGTGTGTGTGTGTGTGTGTGTGTGTGTGTGTGTGTGTGTGTGTGTGTGTGTGTGTGTGTGTGTGTGTGTGTGTGTGTGTGTGTACAGTGTGTGTGTGTGTGTGTGTGTGTGTGTGTGTGTGTGTGTGTGTGTGTGTGTGTGTGTGTACAGTGTGTGTGTGTGTACAGTGTGTGTGTGTGTGTGTGTGTGTGTGTGTGTGTGTGTGTACAGAGTGTGTGTGTACAGTGTGTGTGTACAGTGTGTGTGTGTGTGTGTGTGTCTTGGAGAGGCCTGAGCCGTTGGAATTCTCACATTTGGTGAAAAGTCAAAGCCGAGTTGTGCGTCGTCCTCAAAAGTCTCTTTGTGAACTCGACCTGCACGAACCGTAAATAAAACCTGATCCCCAAATAAATAAATCAAATCTACCAAACAAAATAAAATATCTAAAATATCTAAAATATCTCTTCTGTTTCCACGTCTCAGAAGAGTCGATAAAACAAACTCATTCACACGTCAATTAAAAACCAAAAACCAAACCAGCGAGAGGAACTGAAGGTCCAACAAGACACAAACGTGACACAAACGTGACTCCTGTGAGCTTCAACTCATCTTCTAATGTCCCCTCCAAAAAAAATAAAAAAATAAATAAAAAAAGTGTAAAAATGTAATTCCAACAGATTAAAATAAGAGTTTAATTGTTGGTGTAAAATTGTGTTCAGATCTTTTTTTTTTTTTTTCTTGTGGATCAGTAAAGTTTCAGTGTAAAATATCTGCAGTACTGGGACTCACCACCAGAGGCAGCGCTCACTCTGTCACAAACACCTCATCCTCTCCTCCTCCTCTTCTTCTCTCTCTCTTTATCTTTCTCTTCTTTTTTATTCTGTACCTCCAACCTCTCCCTCTTTCTCTCTCTCTTTTCTCCCTCTTTTCCTCTCTCCTTCCCCGTCTCCTTTTTTCACTCCCTTTCCTTCCCTCCTTCCCTCTCTCCTCTCTTCCCCCTCCCACTCATCCCTCTCTCTCCCTCCTTTTCTCCCCCATCTCCTCTTCTCACTCCCTTTCCTCCCTCTCTCTCTCTCTCTCTCTCTCCTCCCCCATCTGCTTTTCTCGCTCCTCCCATTCCTCTCTCTCCTCCTCTCTCTCTCTCTCACCTCTCCTCCTCCTCTCTCTCTCCTCCTCTCCTCTCCTCCTCCTCCTCCTCCTCTCTCCTCCTCTCTCCTCCTCCTCTCCTCCCTCCTCTCCTCTCTCTCCTCTCCTCTCCCTCCTCTCTCTCCTCTCTCTCTCTCCTCCTCTCTCCTCCTCTCTCTCCTCCTCTTTTCTCTCTCTCCTCCTCTCCTCCTCCTCTCTCTCCTCCTCCTCCTCTCTCCTCTCTCCTCTCCTCCTCTTCTCACTCCCTCCTCTCCTCCTCCTCTCTCTCCCTCCCTCTCTTCTCCTCTCCTCCTCCTCCTCTCCTCTCCTCCTCCTTCTCTCTCCTCTTCTCCTCTCTCTCCTCTCTCTCTCTCTCTCCTCCTCCTTTTCTCCTCTTGTCTCTCTCCTCTCTCTCCTCTCTCTCTCTCCTCTCTCTCTCTCTCTCTCTCCTCTCATCTCTCTCTCTCTCTCCTCCTCTCTCTCTCTCTCTCTCTCTCCTCTCTCTCCTCTCTCCTCTCTCCTCCTCTCTCTCTCTCTCTCTCTCTCTCTCCTCCTCTCTCTCCTCTCTCTCTCTCCTCCTCTCTCCTCCTCTCTCTCTCCTCCTCTCTCTCTCTCTCTCTCTCTCTCCTCTCTCTCTCTCCTCTCTCTCCTCTCTCTCCTCTCTCCTCTCTCTCTCTCTCTCTCCTCTCTCTCCTCTCTCTCTCTCCTCTCTCTCTCTCTCTCCTCTCTCTCTCTCTCTCTCTCTCTCTCTCTCTCTCTCTCTCTCTCTCTCTCTCTCTCTCTCTCTCTCTTCTCTCCTCTCTCTCTCTCTCTCTCTCTCCTCTCTCTCTCTCTCTCTCTCTCTCTCTCTCTCTCTCTCTCTCTCTCTCTCTCTCTCTCTCTCTCTCTCTTCTTCTTCTTCTTCTGTCAGTTTACAGACGGTCAGCTGTATGCCTCCTCCGGTCTCGTCCGCTGTGATTCTGACCAAAGCCGTCGGTGGAAACGAGGTGAAGTTTTTTTTTTTTCTCTCTCACGTGTTTAAATCTGAAATCTGAAATCTGGCCTCGGACTCTTGACGTTTGCGTGTGTTTCCAGGCCGCCGCCATCTTTAACTCTGCGTTCGGGAGTTTCCTGGTGAGTAAAGAGACACTGTGGAACTTTTCTGCTCGTCGGCGTTCGTCCGGCTTCGTGTTTTAAACGTGTTTCTCTTTTCAGGGCATCATCGTCACGCCGCTGCTGCTCCTGCTGTTTGTGAGTGTGAGGGGGCGGGGCCTGAGGGAGGAGGGGGCGGGGCCTGGTGGAGGATGGGCGGAGTCTGGTGGTATAAATAACCGTGTGATTGGTCTGAAGCTGTGTTCAGACCCTGGTGTCGATAATGTGCTGGACTCCTCTCCTTAAAGCCTTTGTGTGTGAGTCCAAATGCCCCTGAGCGTCCAGGCGTCCAGGGTGTCCAGGGCGTCCAGAGCGTCCAGAGCGTCCAGGGTGTTCAGGGTGTCAAGGTGTTCAGAACGTCCAGAGCTTTAAGGTTGTCCAGGTTGTCCAGGTTGTTCAGGTTGTTCAGGTTGTTCAGGTTGTTCAGGTTGTTCAGAGCGTCCAGAGCGTCTCTGCGGTCGGCGAGTGCCGCGTTTTCCCCGTGGAGAGTGACTTTAGTGCATTTATCACATAATCCATCAGTGGAGACGGGCGGCGGCGGCGGCGTGTTTATATTTCTTCTCTAATGACACGCCGTAGAGCTTCTTGTTCTGGTGTTTGTGACTTTGGGTCTTTCTCCTTCTTCTGGATCATGACGTTAAATCAGACTTGATCCTGTGGCCAGAGGCTTCGTACAGACTCTGACTCCAGACTCTGACGGTTGTGTCTGGGAGTCACTTGTTTTTCACTTGTTTTTCACTTGTTTTATTTCTGATGTCCGAGCTTCACGTCGACCGTCCTCGTGAGAAGGTGTTTTGTTCTTTTTACATATGACCTCATGGCTCGTCATCGTCCGTGTGTTTTGTGTTCTCCTCCTGAGGGATTATTAAACCTCGTGTGCTTGTTTTGAAGATAAGACTCGGGACAGACGCCTCCGTCAGGGACACGCAGCTCTGTGATTGTGCCAACAACTGCTTCAATAAATCAGACGCTTTAATTTAAAGCAGGAGAGTCAAACTCATTTTGGTCTGGGGGTCGTGTCCAACCGACTTTGATCCCCAAAAATAACAATAAGTTCAAATATTTGTGCAGAGAAACACAAATCTGTTACACAAATCTTTTTGAATTGATGAACTCTTTCTTTTACAAAATATTATAATATTATGAACAACCTGAAACTTTAAGAAAAATACAATTTCAACACAAAGTTTGAACATGAACTTGTCTGTAAACAGGAATAAGTCCATTTTTGTTGTAAAATCCTGCACTCGGCTCCACTTTTCTCATGTTGGACATTTTTCTGATGAGGGTGTCACGGTCAACAGTCAAAACGATCGTCCTTTAAGAGCGTTTGGAAAGAGACAAGTCTTCATTTGTGCTGCTCTGGTGGGAGGGGCCACGTACAGAGACGCTGGAGACGCTGCTGTGATAAACACCACACAAAATTAACAAGGTTTTAATAGAAAATAGAATTAGTTTGACACCTGTGATTTAAAACAACTTCTCAGTTTATTCTTTATTTTAGAAACAGGACTTTAACTGTTTGTTGTTTTATATTTACGTAACCTTTCGTCTTAGTTTAAATATGTTTGTGTGCAGTTGGGGTCCTCGTCCTCCGTCCCCTTCTCCTCCATTTTCTCTCAGCTCTTCATGACCGTCGTGGTTCCTCTGATCCTCGGACAGGTGACCTCACGACACAAACCCGGCACAAAACACTCTGCTCCACCTCGTGATGTCACAGCGTGGTGGTACGGCAAGTGCTCCACTGTGTTTTTAAACTCCACACACCTTCACTAGAATCATCTGCACTGAAAATGTCAATAAATAAAGTAAAAGTAAGAAAAAAGTTTAAAAAAATAAAGACTGAAAATATCAAGTTTTTTTTAAAAAGTAAAAAATAAAGATAAAAACTGAAAATGTCAATAAATAATGTTAAAGTGAAAATAAAGTAAAAAAAAAAAAAAAAAAGATAAAGACTGAAAATGTCAATCAACAAAGTAAAAAAAATTAACTAAAAATAAAGTAAAAAGTAAAGATTAAGATTTAAAATAAAAAAAATAAAGTAAAAGTAAAAAATAAAGTTAAATGTATTGAAATTTTCAGTATTTTTTTTTTTTTTTGGAAAATTTTTCTGAAAATATATTTTTTTAAAAATAAAAAAAAAAAAATAAAGAAAAAATAAAGAAAATAAAAAACTAAAAAAAAATGTAAAGTGAAGAAGAAAATAATGAAATGTAAAAAAAAGAAAAAATAAAGCATTTGATTTGGAGCTTTGTAGATGTGGACAGACTCATAATAAAGATTTACTCAAACAAACACAACTCCAGCTCTGAGTGTGACCAGGAACATCAGAACATCAGAACATCAGAACATCAGAACATCAGAACATCAGAACATTAGAACATCAGAACATTAGAACATCAGAACATTCAGAACATCAGTCAGAACATCAGAACATCAGAACATCAGAACATTTAGAACATCAGAACATCAGAACATCAGAACATCAGAACATTAGAACATTAGAACATTAGAACATCAGAACATCAGAACATCAGAACATCAGAACATTAGAACATCAGAACATTAGAACATTAGAACATTAGAACATCAGAACATCAGAACATCAGAACATCAGAACATCAGAACATAGAACATTCAGAACATTAGAACATCAGAACATTAGAACATTAGAACATTAGAACATTAGAACATTAGAACATCAGAACATCAGAACATCAGAACATCAGAACATTAGAACATC